GGTTGCATAATAGGAAACAAACATCAGACAGGAAGTCAATATTTAAGCTTAATATATTTTATTTTTTGTAGCACTGTGCTTTGTTTCCCCATAATATAATATTTGTATCCATCATTGAATTTACATTGAATATTGTTTGGTTGCCTTTCGGGTAAGTGGTGAAATAACTGTAAGAGTCCTGCACTGACTTCCATTATGCAGACGTCTATTCTGTCCTCATGGTCTCCAGGAAGCATGCAAACCGGGTAATTATGTTTGCCTGATTACATTTTGACTTGCCTTCAAACCATTTATCTTATATTTATCCAGGGATGTTTAATCACATTACACCTAAGCTGGGATGTAAAAGAATACTGCCTTTAATATGTGCAGATACTTGCGTTTCCATTGGTCCATATCAGTGCCAGTCTGATTGATCAGTGTTCACAATATCTTCAGGCCGTCTCATTTCCTGCTGCTTGACTTATATAACGAGGTCTGGAGGGAGGTCTGCCTTTTCTTTTTTTCGCGGTTGACATCTGTTGGGAAACACTTAACAGAGCCCAGACAGCTTGTGCTGAACCACGTGCCCTTTGGCTGCACCCGGATGAGACTTATATTCTTTCTGTTTCCCCTTAATCGCCATTGAGGGTTCAAGGTCCTGTTTTTGAGGAACAAGATGTGCAGCATTAAGTGCAGTCAAGTGCCCCGTTTGCAGAGGGCGTGATGGCCCTTTTGGTGTCTATTGTGACCTGTGGCACTCTTGGTTATGGTGAGGGATTTGAAGAGATATCACACGGTAGCAGTGGGTGAGTTGGAGCTTACATCAATCATAGCCAATCACAGCTCATCCTGCTACCATAGCACACCAACATTTTGGTAATGCAGCATCAGCAGAGTCCTAGCCAACATTTTCTAAAGAGTCAAAATGTGCAATGTTATCGTACGGCAGCTCAAAAGTCCATATATGTAATTCACTTGTCTAATTAACTTTTTCTAAGGACAGGCACAAATGTGCATACTAAGCAAAATTATAGGCCATTTCATTTAAGATCACAACAATCCTCATTATAGTCAACACTGGGGCATCTCAACAACATCACCATCTCAGACAGGAAATTGCAAAAACTGAGAATCTGTGTGAAACACAGAAGTCCAAAAGTTAGTTTGGGAGTTGTACAACATGCTGACGCCGGCTGCACTAGATTTAATCAAGGCAAGGCATTGGAACTGGCTTTCAAGAGTCAATCCACTGAAGTCTTTATAAGCCAACAAGCTGCTGTAGCAATATGTCGCTAAGAATTACAAAACAATCGACAGTGTGATTTACTGGCAAAAATAACATTGTTGGGGTAAATTGCATTTTGCAGGGTCTCCGTCTAGATATGCCCACTGGTTGCATAAAGTAAAATCAGAATGAAACAGGCATAAGATGTGCAAGTGATTTAAAGAAATTAAATGAGTAGTTGAATATAATTTATATTCCTTTTTTTGGCCACAATGAGCACGTGTTGAAACCACTTGTTTTCAACCCAAAATAAGCAGCCTTTTAGATGACTGTACCAGCTACCAAGTTGTCACTATTTTTCTTTGTTTCCTTTTGATTTTTTGGATTCAACTTTTGCTTTGTCGCATACTGTATTTCCTCTCAGTGTGCATGGCATATCAGAATGTATGTCAGATTCGTGGTGCGTTCAAGTGTAACTTTATAAGTGTGCCTTGTCTGTGCTTGTCAGGGTCCTCCGAAAAACAATGTCACTGTAACACAATATCCAATGGCAACAGCCCAAATATCAAAGAACATCTACAGTGACAGATTTGTTAATTATTTCACCAAATTTGACAGATTTAAAAAGTGAACGTTGGCACAAATTCCTGCATGTTACTTGCAAAGCTTCCCAATCTGTAGAAGGGGAACATGGATAAAGCGGCAGAGCACACTGGTTGTGAGCAGTAAGAGAAGCCTGGACTGTGTTAGGCTCCCAGAGTGGATTAGCAGAGTTTATCAGCAGCTGCACACTCATTGCTCGCACACTGCTGAGAATAAGAGGCTGCACAGAGCTCTGAGTCCTTGGCCTTGGTCAATAACAGCCCTCGGGGTACACAAGGTGCCGGGCAATTAGAAAACGTTGAAACAGTTTCTTGGTCAATATATTCACGGTCACAGTCTAATGTACTATGAATTGTGTAAACACTCCAGTGGAACGTTGTGTGAATTCACATTCTGCTTTCATTAGACATCAAAGAACGTATAGTAGAACATGTTGCTTTCAAGGCCAAATTGGACCAAAATACAATAAAACTGCATCATTTAATAATCATTAACTATGGCTCGCATTCTCATTTCTTCTTCAAAAGATATGATTATCAAGCTTCAACCGTCAGAACATGTCCCATTAGAGAATTCATCCACGTCTCCTAAAAGCAAATCAAACTTTTTTGGTTGAATAATCCATTTCCCTTGCGCAGTTGTGGATATCTGGATGTTCTACCTATTGGACATTTCAAAGAGCTATCTCTTAAACATTTTTGTTCAACCCACGTAATGGAAGCTGCTACATTTCATGTGACATTCAGTGCAGATGTCAAGGATTTTGCAATCAGTTGTGTGACATGGTTTACATTGAGAATGAAAAACAGCTCCCATATGGAGCCGGATCCCGGGTAAAACGGAGCATCTTGGACATGCTGCATGCTTGTCTAAATATGGCCGAGCGCTTTTAACACCGTGATGTTTGACAGCACCATCTGGTCTGCTGCAACACGAGGGTAACATGTGTGACTCAAATATGTTGTCATGTCTTTTTCAAGATTCTCTGACACACTTAGAAATTAAAATACTAATAACAATACTTAGAAATAATGAAGAAATACAAGATAAATAGGAAATGATGCAGGAAGATTTGGATGCTGTAAAAGATGACTTATTTGAAAGGAAATGGGTTATTCTGCTTTTGCGTAATGAGAGGGCTTATAAAATCAAATGTAAAAAAAACTTCAACCATTGCAATAGTATGTAGATCATTAAGTTGATTTAGATGACTAAGGATTTTACACCCAATGTTTAGTTTAAAACTAATTCTGTGCCTAATTTGTATGTTTCATTTTGTCTGGTGTAAAAGCTCTGGAGCAGACCAAGAAGGAATTCAGATTGAGACCACCTGGAAGAACGGGTCTGCTTCCAGTTGGACAGTTTATGATGTGAAAGGATACGCGATTTGAGCATGAAAATACCGTGAACTCTTAAGGAAACAATCTAACCTTACAAGAGGCTATACTTGTATGCAAAGGATTTGACCACCATGGTAACAGGCGTGTCAGCTATAAAAGCAGTCAGTTTCCCAAATGAATCACATTTTTACCCATTTCTTTACATCAATGCAGTATCGCATTAGAGGTTTTTCTATTCAAGTGGCAAACACATTTTAGGTGAACTAGGGAAGTAGTTTTGTCACAATTATTAGCTATGTGAGGCTGAAATAGCCAATAAACAGAGTAGAATATGTAGAAGATGCACAACGGCTTGCTCATCCAACCAATCTACGAGAACAAATAAAAAGAATATGGTGAAAACTCTCAGAAAGGCGAAAAACAGCTTAAGATAGCCTGAAGACTTTATTATGTGAATGGAAACCAGGCTTATATCATTAGATCTCTAAATACACAGACGTCAAGATTGAGCGATAGACTGATGACTGTTAATACAGATAACAGTTAAGTGCTGAGTGAGTTGCTGATGGTCATGTGAGTTTGCTCCACGTGGGTATAATCAGTGATGATTATAAAATCATCCTAAATAAGCAACCCAGAAAACATATAATCATGTCTATATCAGATTATCCATGACTTGAAATGTTTAATCCGCTTCTCAGATAAATCAAATGCGCCTGACAACTGTCTATGTTGATATGCCTCAGTTGTCGATAAGAGTTTGATATAAATCATGGATCTCTCTCACGCCCTTTTGAAATTCAGCCTCTGGGGAAACATTGTTCTGCAGTAGGTTTCATGAATCATTTCAATCGTTTCTGATCGGGATTACTGGTAGCCATCAGCAGCTGTCATGGATTTGTACCTCCAAGATTAAGAATTGAATTTATTTATTTGTTCCTTGTCAGTGAACCCACCTGCCTCTGGCATTATTCCAGAAACATGTGCATTAGCGTTTCTTGCCGTTTCTGCTCTCTATTACTCTGCATTGAAGAGACAAAAACATCTGTGTAAGTAGGCGGGAGAGGAAATTAAAGTGATCCCATTTATACCTGGCGTTAAAAAGCATTTGGTGGATGTAGCGTTGCGGACAAAATAAACAGATTGGTCGTTAGATGAGATGCTGTTCCAACAGATGAGAAGCTTCTCCAACCATATTGTATTCTGAATTGTAAGCATTGTCTTTTGTGGCTTTTCTGAAACCAGGGGCATTTGGCTACAGACAGGGATAGATCACGGTTATCTTAACATTACAATGGAAAGAGTGGTTTTCAAATCAAATGCAAAACTAAGAAGTTTAAAGAATCCGATTGTCGTGTCATAAAATACAAACGTTCTAAATTAAGTCAAAATTAGATATCAGTTGATAACTTCATCCCCCTATTTAAATGCTCTGTGTCTTTAAGAATTCATTTTATAAGAGCAAATACAATCAAGCCATAATATCGGAGATTAAGCAACCCTGCCAACTTGACTTTACAGTGCATTGTTAACCCGTCACTACTGTACTCTTTCATGAGATCAGCTGGGAACATAGATGGTGTTGCACTTTTACGTTTTAAATTAAAGTACATACTTGAGACATATTTGAATGTGGCCAGTCCTAAAATCAATAGGAGATGTATATACGGCATGGCCATAAAAAGACATTTCCCCCCCATACTAAGGAACCCTCATGCTTCCTCTGTCCCCCACCAGAACCCACAGATGTGAAGTACATTACTCCCCCTTTTTCTCCCTCCCTTCAACAGCCCCTCTTTCCACTGCAAAGAAAGAAAGAAATCATTCACTTTCAGCCTTTTCTACCAGCATCCCCCTCCCCTAGCTCCCCCTCCCAGCAGCAGAGAGGGGCACAGAGCAGCCACACTCCACAGCCAAACCCTAATTGTGTGTGCGTGTGTCTGCATTTTTTTCCCTGACATGAAGAAGGAAACCAAGTGAGTATTTTGTGCTCTGTGCCTGTGAATGGTAGTCCTGAGCCGTTTCAATCGTTTCACTTTAATGAGAAAGTGGAGAATTTAGCTGTGAGAAATGTACTGGAGTTTGGTAAGTTTGTTTTATGGATTTATATAAACTTAGTTTGAGAGTGTAACGGGAAGCTGGGGATTTCTTACCTGACATTCTGATGGTAAAAGAAGAGAAACATCCCTTGAAATGGTTGTTTGGTTATAGAATACTGTAATTGATGTGGATAGTTGCTTTAGAGTTAAATAGAAAATAAGGCAAATTACCTTTTTCTGTACGGTACTAATGAACAGTACATGTTAATATCTATATATATATTTGTGTTTATATGGTGTGTATGGTGTGTACAGTATCTCTCACATTATTATGCTGCCAAGTATTTCCAATTCACACAATAACTTATTATTGAGCTGTGTGTCATCACTGAACCTGTGTGGCCTCTGTATGTTGTACTGGCATGTTGCCAAAGAGCATGTTTTCATAACAACAGTGAGGTGGTTGAGTGTTGTGACACCTGTGAGACACACCTGTTCAGACTCGACAAGAGGGGCCACAGGGTTGAGCCGCAGCGACATCACAAAACACTCAGATTAGCTCTGCTCCAGTCAGGTAGCTGCCAGGGAGGAGTCTCAGATTCAAGGAGCACCAAGAGCTTTCCTCTGTAAATATATCACAACCACGCAACTCTGCAAAAGACTTGATTCATCATTTCATCCTTTTCATTTTAAAGCTGCACTATTTAGTACATTATTTGAGCGGAATAAAAAGAATATGGTAACTTTTATGATAATCAAATTACTTTACACATTTTTGGGACAAATTCCTAAATGTGCTTCGATATATTTTAGATACATTGAATAGCGTTTAGTTTTGGATAGTTGATCATACAAAAAAACGTTTTTCAAGACGTCAGCTTGAGCTTTAGGGTATAGTGGTTAATTTAGGGTGAGAAGCCCTGGATTAAACAATAAATCGATTAATGAAGAAAGTAATTGTTAGTTTTAGTCCAGATTAATTCATTCTGTCAAAGTGGGATAATAATCATGATTATTTTTCTTATTTTATTGTCAATGTGCAGCCACAGTCAAAGTCATATGAAAAAGTTGAGGTCCACTTGACAGCAAGATTGGAAGAATGAATATGAATTAAACCTAGTTGTATAGCAATCAGTCAATAATCACTGGACTGCTGTTCTCTCAAGAACCATTAAATAAAAGTGCTCTAAAGATTACAAACAAGAGCTGAAATGTCTCTTTGGTGTTTGAGCTGTTGGCGGTGAACTTCTTCCACTCTGCAGGCGAACTCCTGCTATTTTAAGCCAAAAGAAAAGTCAGCCTATAAAAAAGCCACTTCACAATGACAGATCCTTCTCAGCAAAGCCAAAGAAGGTCATTAGGGGCCTCGGAGAGTCTAACACAAACACTGCTTCAACTGAACCAGAAGACGCCAGCGTGGAAACTGTGCTGTCACTTTCTAAAGACAAAGGCCACTGCTGCTGCCAACGTGTGACACAGAGAGGAGCATGTGTGTTTCTAGTTATCAGAGACTGAGTTAATGTCACTAAATGTCCTTTGACTGGTGCCTTTTACTGCTGGGATAGGAAAGCACCACAGAGAGAATAAAACTTGTATTTTAGGATGAATTATATTTGGCTGTCATTGGGCTGAGAGTGTTGTCACTCTCTGCCATGAGGTTTTGATTTACACACACCCAAACAAGTGCAGTAAAACTTGGGAGTAATAAAAGCTTTGGACATCTAATGAGAAGACTGAGACGCCATTCAGCATTCGAGTGGTTTATGCACTCACCTTATGGAAAGCTTCATAATAAAAATCACATATAACTGTGAATCTTGATAATTAATTTCAAAGTTGGTTTAACATAAAATGTATTTTTTAAAGGTTGCATAACATTCACAAACTGTACAGTAGTGGGTCGGACATTTCTTTTAACTGTCCCAATAACAAAGCTCATTCATTCATCATGACTCTGGAAATGTAGTTAGTGACATCAATTATATTTTAAAAGTAATGATTGACAATTGAGGCACAGCTCCTGGACTGTGTCTCTTCTTGCAGTCCGGATACTATGAAGGTTTCCGTTTTACTCTTAGTACAGCTGCTGTAACAAATGGGAGGTCCCCATTTAAAGTGATCAGAAACAGAGGGAAGGGAGGGGAGGAGAGCAGCCAACAGTTGGTTGTTTTATGGAGGCGTGTGGTGTAGTGGGTTGTGCATTGGTGTTCGGATCAGGTTCAAACCCCACTGCAGTCAGCATGTCGTTGTGTCCTTGGGCAAGACACTTCACCCCAAAGTGCTCCTGTGGGGATTGTCCACAGTATTGAGTAGGTAAGTCGCTTTGGATAAAAGCGTCTAACAAGTTATGGGTTTGGGCCACACCACAACTCATCTTAAAATAAATAGAAGATTTTACTGTGTCCGTTTTACCAAGCATGACTGGGCTTTAATTCAGCGTAACTCCACAAACATAGCAAAGGGTGAAAGCCAACCAGCTCACATTTGTACTCCAGTGATGAGAGGTTGAAATAGCTGCTGTAATAGCAGCAGCTCAAACCAAAAGGTGCTCTGGCAGCAGAAAGAGTTCTGCAAGACCTTCATCTCACAGTCCTGGCTCATGTTTTTAAATGTATTTCCAGATGCCCAGGAGAGAAAAATGAATGGCAGTCTGCAAAATGATAACGTGACACTGTTGCTGTGTGACTGTAACCCATGCAGAGAGCAGGGGCACAAACTGTGAGAAAAACAAACCCCATTCATGACTAAGTCACATATGATGTGAGAAATTGTGCAAAAGCAGCGTCCTCAGTGTACTCTTAAAGATTTACAAGGTGAAAAGATGTTATGAAAGAACCCCAGACAGCCACTAGTTTCCAAAAACAACACTCCTGCAAAGGGGCTATTTCAGCTTTTACAGGACTAGCTTAACACAACGCACGCTATAGCTAAGCCAGGGCCCAACCACAGAGTATGAGACCATGTCTAATGGAAACATAACAGGCAGCTCACAACATCTTTACAGCACTGGTGTTGGAAAAATATGAAAAAGGCAAGAAATTGTTCCAGGAAAAACGTGTATTTTCTCCTTAAAAGCACCATTAGAGATGTCATGTTGATTTCTAGCCAAGTAAGTCATTGATATCATAATTAAAACCCTATAAACTGAATATTAAACATTACAGAAGATGTAAATGTTGACATTTCAATACCACTGCCAAGTCCTTCTTATATCCATTTTTCAATATGACTAAATCATTAAAGCTGTTTTATTGACTAAATATATATGGCATTCAGACAACTTTATATAAAGTGTCAGTGATATATTATTTAAAAATCAAGAAAAAGGAAATGTAAGCTCATAAACTATACATTAGTATAAAATTATCAACACTATAATATGCAGTGTGACATTCAGAGTGTCACATTTTTGTAGTCACTACAATATTAAAGATGAATTAGAAGCTATTTCTATATTACTGTAAGGTGCAGTGACGGCTGAGAAAGCAAACAATAAAGGAAGTTATTAAAGGTCAGAGTTAAGTCCCATTACGCATTTGCCTTTAAAGCCGAAAGTGCATTTTATTAAATATCCATAATATTTGCGTGATTTAATGAAAGCGTTTTTCAACATGAAGATGCAGAATGTTAAATAGACAAGCAGATTACACTTTAAAGATGTGCTAATGTCCATAATAATCAGCCTGTGGTTCTTTGCATTCACAGCTCAATTGTGTCAAATTAAATGTTGATCTTTGATTACTGAGCAGAGGGAAGAGGTTTGGATTCAAAACAGACATACAGTTGCAAGAAAAAGTATGTGAAGTGTGAACCCTTTGGAATTACCAGGATTTCTGCATAAGTTGGTCATAAAATGAGTTCTGATCTTCATCTAAGTCACAACAATAGACAAACACAGTCTGCTTAAACTAATACCACACAAACAATTATATGTTTTCATGTTTTCACCATGTCAACATTCACAGTGCAGGGTGGAACAAGTATGTGAACCCCTAGGCTAAAGACTTCTTCAAGAGCTAATTGGAGTCAGGAGTCAGCCAACCTGGAGTCCAATCAATGAGACGAGATTGGAGGTGTTGGTTAAAGCTGCCCTATACAAAATACACACCAGTTTTGAATTTTCTATTCTTAAGAAGCATTGCCAGATGTGAACCATGCCTCGCACAAAAGAGCTCTCAGAAGACCTACGATTAAGAATTGTTGACTTGCATAAAGCTGGAAAGGGTTACAAAGGTATCTCTAAAAGCCTTGATGTTCATCAGTCCACGGTAAGACAAAGTGTCTATAAATGGAGAAAGTTCAGCACTGTTGCTACTCTCCCTAGGAGTGGCCGTCCTGTAAAGATGACTGCAAGAGCACAGCGCAGAATGCTCAATGAGGTGAAGAAGAATCCTAGAGTGTCAGCTAGAGACTTAAAGAAATCTCTGGCACATGCTAACATCTCTGTTGACGAATCTACGATACGTAAAACACTGAACAAGAATGGAGTTCATGGGAGGACACCACGGAGGAAGCCACTGCTGTCCAGAAAAAACATTGCTGCACGTTTGAAGTTTGCAAAAGAGCACCTGGATGTTCCACAGCACTACTGGCAAAATATTCTGTGGACAGATGAAACCAAAGCTGAGTTGTTTGGAAGGAATACACAACGCTATGTGTGGAGAATCCAAAGGGTTCACATGCTTTTTCTTGCAACTGTAGTGGCCAAATGAGGGTCCACACTTAATATTCCGTCAGTGCGCCAAAGTATGCAGACATATGGATTCTTTGGAAGATGCCTTAAAACATAATTTTAAATGTATTTATCTAAGCATCGTGTCTTATCTGGTAAATTGATATCTTGAGACATTAAGTGAAGGAACTCATTCACCACATGTATAGAATAGATTGCAGACTAGCATGTGAAAGGGAATCGTACTAAAACTCTAACTTCTACATTATCTGGGCTGAACAAGGCCCATTAAATATACATTTTACATCACTCTCATTTCCCTTTAGACATAAATCTACAGCCAGATGCCAGTTGTTTACAGTTTTCATGTTAAGCTAAGCTAACTGGCTGTTTATAATTTACTGTTAAGATGTCAGAGTGGAAGCAATTGCTGGAAGTCAATTAAGTATATTTTCCAAAACCTTCTGTCTCTTCACCTGTTGATCAAGTTATGCACAGTCACTAACCTCATCTACTCTTCGCAGGTCACAATGTGGCATTGTTGGATGCCCTTCATCTTGGCCTGGGTGTCCATGCCAACCCCGACTCTCTGCCAAAGTGGAGATTGGGGTTCAGGCTTTGACATCTTCCCGGCGTTAATGGCCACCAATGACACGTCTCAGGCAGTTGGCGATGAGCCTGTGAAGATGAGAAACAATGAAGACTGGATCACATCAGCAACTTCCTCACCACCACCACCACCCTCCCCCACAATGCATTATGAGCCCCAACCGGACAAATGCTCGGTCCACTTCAGCACTAGCGCCGCTGCGGCTCGGAGGCTGAAGGCCCAGAAGGAGGAGCTGGCCTACCTGCAGGCCATTCAGCATGGAAACAAGGCCGTGGTGGAGAACCTGGTGCAGTTTGTGGGGGCAGAGCTGGGGGATCAGAGCTATGAAGATGTGATTAAGGAAAATGTCATCGGCATCCAAGGGGACCACAAGACTTGCCACGAGGCGGTGGAGAAAGCAGAAGACGATATGGCAAAGCAGCTGGAGGGGGAAGTGTTGAATGCTGGGCTGCAGAAGTGAGTGCGATAAATGTGTTTTTCAAAAAGTTAAGAAGTTGATGTGCTGGTCTTCCCAAAAGGTCAAGGTTTAAATGTAAAGAGAGCGCCTTACAAAAGCCCAGTTGTTATGGCTTACTCAAGAGGTAAACAACCCCATGCTGTTAACAGAAATTGGAAAATGTGTGAGCAAAGACCTGTATTCAATTATGGCAGAGAGAGGCAATCTTTCGTCTTTTATCCGGGAATAGGCGACTGCGGTGAGGACTGCTGTTTCTTCTCGTCTTTCATAATGCACACGTCAATCACAGGAGATGAGCAGTATTATTATTATTATCATGATGCAAGGCTCCTGCGTTGGGTCTCAGCTTGCAGTCTAGATTGGCCTATAGGTTTCTGTTTACTACTTTAATACTAAAGAGTATTCACGTCACTATAGATATTAGACACAGTATGGGGCACCTCTAAATTGACACTTTTTAAATGCAAAATAACCCTCTTGTCGTCTCTGTTGTGCTTTGCATTATATTTCATACAATATATCTCCTCTCCTAAAGAATCTTGCATTACACAAACAGCTTCAATAGCAACTCTGTCCTTTACATATTGTCGCTTTGGATAGGCTCCTGGTTGCTTTGGATAAAAGCAGCAGCTAAATGCAATGCAGTGTAATGTACTGGCCTTACAGTGTATTTGATGTCCTGAGCCACTCTTTACCATTTCTCTCCACATCTGTCCCATTTCTTCCTCTTCCTTTCACTCCTGGTGACTTGGATTGTTTGTCTTTCCGGAGCAGAATCAGAAAAGAGTCCTCGGCTTTTGAAGACATGCACCGCGCTGCAGTGGACATCGCCAAGCGGCTGGAGATCTCATCGCAGGCCCTGCATGCTTCGTTCACCAAGCAGCTGAAAGACATTGGCAGAATTCGTCGCTAAGAACGTTTTAAGAGACTTTCTGCCCCCATGTCATCCTTCAACATGGTGAAGAGGTTTTGGTATCCTTTGTGAGACCCAAAATAATGATAACTTTCCAGATTTCTATATTTTATTGAATCAAAATATATGTGCTTTACAGAGATGCAACAATGCGTCAAGATCAGCCTCAACGGTAGGAATCAACATGGTTAAAAGATGACGGGAAAGTTCAAGGGTGGAGGAGAGCAGAGAAGGATTGTTGGGTGAAAAAAACAAGTTTCCCTTTCACTCGAGTTAAAACCCCGTAACCCATAAAATATTATTTTCCATCCAGGCTTTATTCATGAGGTCAATAATAGTAACAGTATGCGGTGCAGGTTTTAGCCAAGTTGAGTGTTTATAGCTCAAATTAGATTGGCCATCGGAGACCAAACATAATGGCTCTGTTAGTCTTTTCCAGAAACAAACTATGGGTCGGCCATCTGGTTCCAGGGCGAGGATGGAGGCCAGGATACGTTTAGGAGGACTAGTGTGTTCCAATAGACATTTTGTTTTGCAATTAAAAAAAAAAAAAAGGATAAAGTGCAACTAGAACTGCATCGTTATTAAGTATTGTTTTGGGTTCTTGAGAAACTATGCACAAATCTGCAGATGACGGACGAGCTGTTTTATCAACAATTAGACAATTCCTTACTGTGAAAAGGAAGAATTAAGCAGGAAACACACCTTCAAAAACATGATGAAGCTCTTTAAACAAAGCACCTCTGAATCTGTACATTGTTTAAAGGAGTGTTTTTGAGATTTTACATCAGGAGGACATTATTTGTGGGTCTCTTAACTGGATTAAGATGTTACAATGTGAGAAACACACTTTTGTTGTGTATCCAGCTTCATTGTGCTATACTGTCTTCAACCCTACTTTCAATCATGTTTTAAATCATACAAAGGTGTAATGTGAATGTGTGAAATGTATGACAAAGGTATACCAGTAAAGATCAACAAGCAATGTATCAGTCTTGTTTTTTTTTATTGTTGCCATGCGTTCACCTCTTCTACTCATATTAATAATTAGGGGGGACTTCACTAGGCATATTCATTCACCTAGTGTGCCCTCTAGCTGTCTCCTACAGAATTATCCCATGGACGTTTCAGTTGCACATGTCACTCATTTACACATTTTATAATGTTTTATAAAATAAATAAACAATTACTAACTTGGAGCAGATTTGAGTTATTGGTCAGTTATTTCCTATACATGCCAAATTCGTGTGTGTGTGTGTGTGTGTGTGTGTGTGTGTGTGTGTGTGTGTGTGTGTGTGTGTGTGTGTGTGTGTGTGTGTGTGTGTGGGGGTGTGTGTGTGTGTGTGTGTGTGTGTGTGTGTGTGTGTGTGTGTGTGTGTGTGTGTGTGTGTGTGTGTGTGTGTGTGTGTGTGTGTGTGTGTGTGTGTGTGTGTGTGTGTGTGTGTGTGTGTGTGTGTGTGTGTGTGTGTGTGTGTGTGTGTGGAGGAGGGACTGTTATAGCTACCAGATGAAAGATGCTCAGTAATCAGATGTGTCCTGTCTCCTCCGGGTGGTATTTTACGAAGCTTATAAACCTCTGTGGCCACTTACAACGCTACTTATGATGTAAATTGGGATACTAAAACTAAAATAAAATGGATATCGAAGTCTTCGATTAGGGCACCAAGGACGCGTAATTTCCGTGCGTAAATGGGTAGATGTGTTTGGATGTTATATACTCGGCATAAAAACGGGATATTTTATACTTAGAATTGAGGCAGTATTATGAACTGGAATTGAAATCTACAATTACACCAGAGGTAAGCTACAGTGTCGCTCCTTGCTTCAGCACCGGTTGGCTCGAGGACCTCGCGCGCGGACAGGCTGTTGGATCGCTGAAACAACATGCACGTTACTCTCTCTGAGGCAGGGCTAACGTGTGGATAGTGACACTCATCAATGCAGAGCTTAATGGGAAAGACAGTGAAGTTTTTCAGTCAGAGTATCTTGATTGTCACTCCCCGCCCACACTAACAGTAGTGGTGAAGTTGTCCTGACATGCCTCCCGGCTGCGAAGATGACAGATATTGCTCACAATTCACGATTTCAAGCTAACGTTTTGACAGCGGACGGACTCACCTCCATGCTCTCCAGTGAAGTTGGACTTCTTACCAGCAGAGTACAACATGGGACACAACAACCTGTTCTCCGTGGGGACGGCTTTTCTCTGCTCCCTACTGTTTTGTGAGTCAGGTAAGCACTTTTTAAAACGTAATCCGGGGCTTCCATAAAGTGAAGTAGCCAAAGTACCTTTGTCGAAACGGCATGGAAAAGCCAAATGTTACGTTAAAGTCGACATTTTACTTAAATTACGCTAACTCTTTTACAGTCTTGAGTGCTACAAAACATTTAATTTCATTATAGAGCTAAACTTTGAAATAATAATAAGCTTCTACCGGCGTGAAAGTGGCAGCACGTAAATGTACCTTTCAATCTATACACCTGCGCGTGTTCAACGCACCACAATGCATTTCTCAAATTTTGTAAATTACACTGTGAGAACAGTTTGCTTACTGTAAATTACAGTAGTAAGACGTTACCTTCCTCAGCTCGTGCGACTATCCTTTTCTTTAAGTGACATTTAGAAATGAATTCTGCCAGACTCGTTTCCCCACGACTTTTAGTTCCTTCCATGTTTCACTTCCGCAGCACTTATCTTTGGTAATGAACAAATATTACATTATTACATTACATTGCATTACATTGCATTTAGCTGACGCTTTTATCCAAAGCGACTTACAATAAGTACATTCGACCAGGAAGACACAACCTTGAAGAAAACAGAATCATATAAGTACATCAGGTTTCATAGAGCCAAAACATTTCAAGTGCTACTCAACTGGCTTTAGATAAGCCAGTCCTTTATTAGTATATAAGTGCTTTGTTAATAGTTCTATCGCTCGAAGTGGACTCGAAATAGATGAGTTTTCAGTCTGCGCAGGAAGATGTGCAAGCTATCTGCTGTCCTGATGTCAATGGGGAGCTCATTCCACCATCTTGGAGCCAGGATAGCAAACCCACGTGTTTTTGCCGATGGGAACTTGGGTCCCCCTCGTAGCGAGGGCGCAGCGAGTCGTTTGGCTGATGCAGAGCGTAGTGCACGCGCTGGGGTGTACGGTTTAACCATGTCCTGGATATACGAAGGGCCAGATCCATTCGCAGCATGGTAAGCAAGTACCAGTGTCTTGAAGTGGATTCTAGCAGTTACCGGAAGCCAGTGAAGGGAGCGGAGGAGCGGAGTGGTGTGGGAAAATTTAGGAAGGTTGAAGACCAAACGAGCCGCTGCATTCTGGATGAGCTGCAGAGGTCGGATGGCACATGCAGGTAGACCAGCCAGGAGGGAGTTGCAGTAGTCTAGGCGTGAGATGACGAGAGCCTGGACCAGAACCTGCGTCGCTTTCTGTGTCAGCTGGGGACGTATCTTCCTGATGTTGTAAAGCGTGTATCTGCAGCAACGGGTTGTGGCAGCTATGTTTGCCGTGAAGGACAGGTTGTTATCTAGGGTCACACCCAGATTCCTTGCAGTCTGAGTCGGGGAAACAACTGAGGTGCCGATGTTGATTGTTAGGTCAAGAGTGGGACAATCTTTTCCCGGAAGGAAGAGCAGCTCAGTCTTGTCAAGGTTGAGCTTGAGGTGATGAGCAGACATCCACTGAGAGATGTCAGCTAGACAAGCAGAGATGCGTGCGACGACCTGGGTCTCTGAGCGGGGAAAGGACAGAATTAATTGGGTGTCGTCAGCGTAGCAGTGGTATGAAAAACCATGCGGGCTAATGACTGATCCGAGTGAGTTTGTGTACAGGGAGAAGAGGAGGGGACCAAGAACAGAGCCCTGAGGGACCCCTGTAGTTAATTGACAAGGGTGGGACTCAGACCCTCTCCAAGTCACCCTGTAGGTACGGTCTTTCAGATATGAGGTGAGGAGGGAAAGTGCAGAGACTGAAACTCCAAGTTTTTGGAGAGTGCGAAGGAGGATCTGATGATTCACCGTGTCGAATGCAGCAGACAGGTCCAACAGGATGATGACAGAGGAGAGGGATGCAGTTTTGGCAGTGTGCAGTTCCTCCGTGACAGCAATGAGAGCAGTTTCTGTGGAGTGACATGCCTTGAAACCAGACTGGTGCGGATCCAGAAGGTTATTCTGATGGAGATAACAGGAGAGTTGTTTAAAGACAGCGCGTTCAAGTGTTTTAGACAGGAACGGGAGGAGAGAGACAGGCCTGTAGTTTATAACATCAGACGGGTTGAGAGTGTGGTTTCTTTAGGAGAGGGTTTACTCTTGCCTCCTTGAGACTGTTTGGAAAGTGACCAGAAGTTAGAGAAGTGTTGATGAAATGGGTGAGAAACGGTAGAATATCAGGAGCGATAGTCTGAAGGAGGTTTGAAGGGATAGGGTCCAGAGGACAGGTGGTAGGGCGGGCAGAGGTAATGAGGGTAAGAACCTCACTTGGAGAGAGAGGGGAAAAGGATTGATTGAAAAGTTTATTAACAGCTTGTATATTGGGTACAGTACAGTACAGCTCAAAACATACAATTGTTAAGGGGATGCAGACCAGAGAAAGACTTTCGTCTTGTTTACATCAGGGTCCCCCATTTCCAATTCATCATGTCATTTAAGACATATAAGACATATTTGACATACAGATGGCTTATTTACAATTTACATACAGATGTTTTTTTTACATACAGATTGCTTGTTTACAATTTTCATTTTAGATTTCGTTCTAATACATCCTAACCGGACATTTAAGACATACCAAGTCTACAGATATACAGTTAGTAACAGAGTCTAAAATGCGAGTATATACATAGATGGCGGGGGGGGAAGCTGTCCATTGAACGACAGGTTGAGATTTGTACCATTACCGGGGCCAGTTTTGCAATGCTCTCCCCGAAGGTGCTCTTTAAGAGAGGTTTTGAAGGTAAGTATAGTTTTACTTTCCTTTACAGTTGTGGGAAGAGCGTTAGTGTGTTGGTGGAAGGAGGGTCTGGTGACCCAGTGGTGAGTAAAGGTGAGTCAGAAAAAGAAGAGCGAATATCATCAACCTTTTTTTCAAAGTGGGTAACAAAGTCGCTTGACAGAAGTGAGGAGGGGGAGGGGCTTTTGGAGGGTCCAAGAGGGTGGAGAAGATGGAGAATAGTTTTTTAGGATTGGAATAGGAAGATTGGATCTTATCTTGAAAGAAAGTGCTTTTTGCCTGAGAGATCGAAGCAGAGAAAGAGGAGAGGAGAGCCTGATAGGTTAGGAGGTTGTCACGGTGTTTAGATTTCCACCGTTTCCGCTCTGCTGCCCTAAGGACGGTTCTATTAGCACGCAGTGCATCATTTAGCCAGGGAGCAGGAGGGGACTGACGAGCCTGCCGAGATGTGAGAGGACAGAGTCCAGAGAGGATGAGAGAGTAGAGAGGAGAGTTTCTGCAGCAGAGTTTGAAGGCAGGAGTTGGAACGAGTCAGAGGAAGGGAGGGCTGAGAGCACCGATGAGGTAGAGGTAGAGGGGGAGAGGGAACGAAGGTTACGGCGGACAAGTGCAGGATGAGAAGAGATTAGTTTGTTATGTTTGGAAAGGGGTAGAGAGAATGAAATGAAGAAGTGATCGGATGTGTGGAGCGGGTTTACAGAGAGGTTAGAAGTAGCGCAGTTCCTTGAGAATATGAGATCAAGGACATTGCCAGCTTTATGAGTCGGTGGGGATGGAGACAGTGAGAAAGCAAAGGTGGTTAACAGGGATGTTAGTTCGTCTATCTTCCCCGTCTGGAGGTTGAAGTCTCCGAGAAGTACAGCGGGAGGGCCAGTTTCAGGGATGTGTGAGAGGAGATTATCTAATTCCTCCAAGAAGTCCCCCAAGGCGCCTGGTGGACGGTAGAGAACAACAATGGTTAACTGTATAGGATGGGTTACTGTGACGGCATGGAATTCAAAGGTGGAAGGAGTGAAGTTAGGTAGCTTGAAGAGGGAAAAGCTCCATTTGGGATAGAGCAGGAGACCAGTGCCACCTCCTCTGCCAGTTGGTCTGGGTGTATGGGAGAAGGAATATGCAGTGGAGAGAGCTGCTGGGGTGGAAGTGTTGGATGGAATAATCCAGGTCTCAGTGAGAGCAAGGAAATCCAGAGACTGCAGGGAGGCGTAGCCAGAGATGAAGTCAGCCTTAGGAACAGCTGACTGGCAATTCCACAGGCCACCTGAAACTAGATGTTGGATCTCAGTGGAGCATGTGGGATAGATGAGAGCAGGCCGGTTATATCGATTAGGAGATACACGGGGCCAGTGATAATTGCGAGAAGACACATGAACAGGAATGGAGAAAATACACATGATTATAGCATGAGGGGCTAGAAAACTAAAGAAAAGAGAAATAAGACACCAGCTCAATCAGAGTAGGATTTGCCTCCTCTTTGCCTCCCTCGTGACTCCCGTAGGACTCCAATGTCTTTGTCAGTCTTCGGCTGTCTTAAATATAAATAAGTTTGTATCCTTACAGTTCAAAAACATTTTGAAAATCCTTTAAATGTGGAAAAAAACGTTCCTCCTTAGTAGTTTAAGTGGTAAATGATGAAGGGTTAACAAAAGAAAATTATCAAGATGCATATTCCTAGTCACAATTTGGAGCAGGTAATATGGTTTCATTAAATATGAGCTACATTTCACTATTCATGATTATACTGCATCCTTTTGAACATTTCTCAATTGGATAACACCTATTTTATTGACATGCTTGTGAATACAGTGTCTAAAATTATGTAAAACAATTTCAGTTTACTTCAAATGCATCAGGCTTCACATTAGAACTGCATTTATTGATTAAGGAGCTTCTAAATTGGTATTTATGAGTTCTGAAACGCAAGTAGGAGTTTTTCTGTGCCGTACGTGACGTGAGAGAGGGTTTCAAAATTAATTGTATTAGAAAAACTCCTCCCTCCATTTCAAAATGCTACAGCATCAGGTGTGCCTGTTCTTGATCTTGTGCCGTACATCTCATTATGTCACTGAGTTCACCTCACAGATAACAGTCACATTTAGTTATTTTAGTGAACTTTTTACTCTTAAATATTTGACAGCCCAATTTCACGAGAGCGCCCCTGGCTTGAGAAGCTGCTGACTCCGTCATCTGAACTGGTCAGTGTTTCATAAACCTCGCCAAGGGGCCTGGCACCGGTCCAGCATGCAGAGCCCAGTGTGCAGGATGTTGGAGGTGTCATCTCATTTCAAGACTCCGCTGGCAGGAGGCTTTGATCTATGGCCCCCTGGAGCTTTTTCTTTTTTTGTTAAGCCTCACATCTGGTCCATCCCAGATGCACAGCCAGATGAACGTGCACTGCCCTGGCTGTCAAAAGAGCAGATAAGAAGTCTCTGGTGTATGCTTGTTTGCCAGAATCAAATTAGTTCATGATTGCACGAGATAAGCCCAATTGCACCATGGGCAAATTAACTCTGACGCCTCCTTTCTGTTTTTTATTGTTTTACATGCTATTGCTAAAACAATTATGCCTTGCCAAAAGTGTCACTTCACATGATATCCACAGCCCATGCTAAGACAGCAGTGTTACATAGAGACTGAATTTGCATATTTGCCCAGGCCTTCTGTCGAAGACCCTCAGGCCAAAGCATAGGTAATAAATCATCAGCAGATTTCCATGCATCCCTCCAGGTTAGCATAAGCAAAGCACCTGGTGATCTTCAACTGGACTATCCTGCAGTTATTGGTTGTGAGTACTTGTCAATGTGCAACTCACCCATAGTCCAGGTAATGATGTGGCCTCGGGTGAGCTACCATGACTGCTGCCAGAGGGTCTAAGGTGTGGTTTTAGGGTCTTTGATGGAAGCACACTTCATTAGGCTGCAATACTACCTTCCACAGTCTAACAGAGACCCAGAGGGAGTGGGTGTTAATGCCTTGTAAACCCACTGCCGACTCTATTGATTTTTTAAAATATTGATTCTTGAGGTTAAGCTTTGGTGTTGTGCTTTCCTTCAACATTTCCTTACATTAATCTCTAGAGAGGAGCTGCCAAGAGATATTTGTTTATGAGATATGTTCTCTTTCTGTACATTTAAGATTGAATACATTCCAAGCCATTGCAAAAAAACATCATTAGCCTATAGGAGAATGAATGACTGATGCAGGTGTACACACATAATCTACTAAAGCTGGATGGATACATCTGAGTTATTGCAGTTATCAGTGTTACCATGAGTCAATGTAATGGTGACACAAAATGTCAATACAGTAAGGCCAATTATATGTTTTAGGTAGTTTATACACAGTGGAGCCATCACTTGGTTTAGTTAAATATAAGGTATCCCACTTAGGACATTATCTTACCTCACAATTCTTTAAAAAAACACATTTAAGTGTTCAGTAATTGTCTTAGTTCGTACATGAAAACATGAACAGTAGTGCTATACTATCATCCTGTTTTTTTAATGAGATTAAATATCATATATGGGTTAGGTCAGGATATATTATTCCTACATGTTAACACACCGGAGTCACACTCTGCTTCTAAGTGAAAAGTGTGAGTTAATTGTTTCATGCATCAGCTGTAACACAGAGTGACAGACAGCTCTGCAATAAACACCCTTCACTCGTGAGAAATTAGCTCACCTCTACTAAACACAAGCAAGCAATGATGTGTGTAATTGACTCTGACTACATTGATGAAGGTGAAGGCGGTAATCCCCAAGGAGTGGGATTCCTGTCCATATCCATGCTATTCACGCTGCAGAAAAACAATACAGTGAGCTGAGTCAGGCTGAACTCGTAGGCAAATCTGTCTGGACTGATCATTCAAAATCAATTTGATTAAGCCGCCCCCTATTGTGAGAAAACACATACATTATAATACCATTTGACAGATAAAGAGAGATGAAATGGTGTCGATGCAAGGCGAAATACTTCCCGTCTCCACCTGCTCACCCCTAGAGGTTTCATCAGACCCACTTGGGGAGCTCAGATCATCAGATCAAAAGATTTGCTAAGATGTGGAAAGGTCAATAAGACTTTACCAAGAGAGGTCTTAGATGTTTAGCGCTGAAGCACAACACTAACCTTCACTCCCAAAAGCCACACTATCATGCCAGCCGGATTTACTGCAGTTTGTTAAGTGAGGATTAGAGGAGACACGGATGAGAGAACAAGGATATGATCTAGTGTGCAACTTCCACAAACCCACTCTTCATAGAGCTGTTATCAGACCATCAAATGTCAGCAATTCAAATAAAAAGTTAAAACTGTCCAAATGACCTTGATGTCAAAGGATATTTGCAATAGGCTACTTTAGTCATATTCATATTAGATTATTTAAATGTTAAAAAACGAAATACTGCAGTTCCATGAGAAGTTTCATGAAATATTTAACAGATCTATTGCATGCATACTTCAATTAAAACAAAGATAGGAGTGAAATGTACTCTTCAATGTATTTGTACAGTGGCTTCTCTATGAATGTCTATTGCTTAAAAAAGAGAAGTGATTTTTCATTTCAAATATATCATGTTTTTGTAGTTCTTTGTTTTGAGAAGACCCACTCGCACGCTGAGGATGAGCTCTTCAAGACGCTGTTCGCCGGGTACAACAAGTGGTCGAGACCCGTGCCCAACATCTCTGACGTGGTCATCGTCAAGTTCGGACTGTCCATCGCACAGCTCATAGATGTGGTGAGTTGTCAATCGTCCATTTCATATAAAACCTTAAGACATTAATAGAGTTAAGACATTTTGGAGCAAAATGTTCCCATGGAGCTTTCATTGGTATGATTAACTGATACTAGCCAAACGTATGGCACTTTAATGAGGCTACAAGAACGAGAAAAGATTTACTTTCCAATCAATAAGTCTCAACCAAAAAAAAATGTATTTTGTATTTTGATAAATGGACTGTTTCTTCAGGGCGTGTGAAGACAGGTGACAGCTCACAGGAAATAAGAGAAGCACGGGGTAAATGACACAGGTCAATAAAGTGGGTGTGTTAGTAATAGGGTCAATTTATAACAAGGGATCAATATCTGGAAGGTAAGCAAGTCCATCATAAAGAATCAATAACATTTGAAATCTAAGACGATAATATAAAAAATAATAAGGTAGAAAATTAAAGCATTATGTATCCTTTCGTATGGGGTGCTCACTTACTCAACTGAAGTTGGAGTTGAAACACAGAGTTACTAAGACCATTTATTAAAGATTTGTGCAAAGCGTGTGCCTTAGTCATTTCAGGTTATTAATTATGAATCACAAAGCAAATTCTCATGATGCGTCACTGGATCCAAAGGGCTCCTTTTTTTTTAATATTCCCGTGGTAGCACACACCGGCCAATCTCCTGGCATTTGTTCTCGCTATTATGACACTGCCACTTTTAACCATCTTTTCCCTGACAGTTTTTACACCAAATGTGTGTTTTGCAATAGTATGTTTTGGCATTTTTTAATACAGTAGCAATAACAAATTTAGGAAAACTAGATTATGCACCACCCTCTGCCCTGTCACAGAACTCTTCACATCCATCACCTTATTGAAGTAAAGTTGCTACAAGCTATATTTGGGTCTTGCTTTGACAAAACTCCAAGAATTTCTCTCATATATTCCTCTGGCCTGAGTTAACAGCCTTCTCTCTCTCTGTCTCTGTCTCTCTGTCTGTCTGTCTCTCTCTCTCTCCTCTCTCTCTCTCTCTCTCTCTCTCTCTCTCTCTCTCTCTCTCTCTCTCTCTCTCTCTCTTCCTCTTCTCTCTCTCTCTCTCTCCGTCTGTCTGTCCTCTAGGATGAGAAGAACCAAATGATGACAACCAACGTGTGGCTTAAACAGGTCAGAAAAATGTGTCAGTGTTGCTTTATTAACAAGATTCCTTTTTCTTCAACTGTATCTCGTCATGTCAAACACTACGAATATACAAACCTACATCTACAGTGCTCATTTGACAAAGATGATGAGGCGTTGATTTGTTTATAGGACAATAAAGGATCATACCCTTCTTGTTTGTATGTCTCAGGAGTGGAATGACTACAAACTTCGCTGGAAACCGTCCGATTACGACAATGTGACGTCCATCAGAGTGCCGTCAGAGCTCATATGGGTGCCAGACATCGTCCTCTACAACAAGTAAGTGTGGCAAGAGACAATTCTTTTGATAGACGGATTAATCCATTGGTCTAACATTTTAAAAAAAAGGTTAACAATCAAAATCTCCAAGAGTTTAGGATGACATATTAAAGCGTTAAACTGTCCAAACCCTAAAGTCATAAAGGATGAGATAAAACCATACATATTTACATCTGAGAAGCTTAAATCCATTTTATAAATCCATTTTATGCTTTAATTATAAATTAATTATTTAAATAGTTACTAATCAACGTTCTGTGGATCAGTTAAAGGTGGGGTAGGTAATTTTGGAGAAACCAGCTCGAGTGCGCTAGAATTTGAAAATACACAACCGGAAAAAATCTGCCACTTTCTTACAGAGCCCCTCCTCCAACACACACGAATGCGCACATGACCAATGAGGGCACGAGATAAGTTTGTGCACAGATGGAAGGCTGACAGGCAGGTAGGCCATCCAGTTATTTTAGTCGGGCCGGCTCAAATGATTGGTCGTGCTTTTTACAGTACTACAGCTTCCACAGATGACATTTCTTTATGGATTTTTTGTCAAAGCACTTAAGATATTCATTGCTATCGGGATGTTAAGAGCATTCCATGGAATATAACAACAAGTGTATCTCGAGCCGGTTTCTCAAACTTACCTACCCCACCTTTAACCTACACTGAACAAAAATATAAACGCAACACTTTTGTTTTTGCTCCCATTTTTCATGAGATAAACTCAAAGATCTAAAACATTTTCTATATACACAAAATAACCATTTCTCTCAAATATTGTTCACAAATCTGAAAAAATCTGTGATAGTGAGCACTTCTCCTTTGCCGAGATAATCCATCCCACCTCACAGGTGTGGCATATCAAGATGCTGATTAGACAGCATGATTATTGCACAGGTGTGCCTTAGGCTGGCCATAATAAAAGGCCACTCTGAAACGTGCACTTTTGCTTTATGGGGGGGGTCTGGGGGGGTCCGAAAACCAGTCAGTATCTGGTGTGAGGGGTAGGGTTAGGGTTAGGGTAATGTTGTGAATCGAGTGGCCTGTGTTCGTCGTCCATAACATACGCCTGCCCATACCATAACCCCACCACCACCATGGGCCACTCGATTCACAACATTACCCTAACCCTACCCCTACCCCTCACACCAGATACTGACTGGTTTTCGGACCCCCCCCAATAAAGCAAAAATGCACGTTTCAGAGTGGCCTTTTATTGTGGCCAGCCTAAGGCACACCTGTGCAATAATCATGGTGTCTAATCAGCATCTTGATATGCCACACCTGTGAGGTGGGATGGATTATCTCAGCAAAGGAGAAGTGCTCACTATCACAGATTTTTTCAGATTTGTGAACAATGTTTGAGAGAAATGGTTATTTTGTGTATATAGAAAATGTTTTAGATCTTTGAGTTCATCTCATGTAAAATGGGAGCAAAAACAAAAGTGTTGCGTTTATATTTTTAGTCAGTGTATTAATGACATGTATTTTCGGCTCAACTTAAAATAAGCATTATAATTCATTTGTGATCAGGTCTAGACAATTCTTTAACAATTTATACTAAAACTGTTCATTGAATACCACAGTGGATGCTTGTAACAGAGTTGTAGAAACATTTAAAAGAAGAGTAACAGCCACACTCATCCAGTGAATTGATGCCTCTTTGCTGGATGGTGTATGGTATGAGAATGGTGCCATCTAGTGATACAACAAATACATTTTTACTGCTCTTAACATTTCTACACCTACCATGAACAGCTCTTCCTGTCTCAAATTGTAAGCTGTTTTCCATGAATTATATATTTATACATTGTGAATCTCTGCTAATATATGTTGACTCTTATTTATTTCAAAATGAAGACAGCCTTGAAATGTGAATTGCCTCAGTGAGAATCTATTGTTAAATAAATCTCCTAAATCCACCTCTCGGAGATTAAACCCGGTGAGTTGATGATTGGGTTCTGCTCCATTAAACCAGTCTAATCACAACCTGTAAGTGAAATTAAAAAAGGTGGGAAGCCGATGAAATGATAACGGCTCATCATTAGGTTTTCAGCAGGAGCTATTATCACCATTAAAGCGATGAGTGAAGGGGAGATTACTGGAGAAGATTATTAGTGGGAATACTATTTTTCTAAATTAAGATAAAATAATTTCTCAGCACAGGGTGTGGTAGGATCAGATTGTTGATTTGCTTTTTTAGCCTCTGAACTGAGATATTCAAACTGTTATGGTTTATGACTACCTTTCCAGCGCTGATGGCGAGTTTGCTGTGACCCACATGACCAAAGCTCACCTATTCCACAACGGTAAAGTCCGCTGGGTGCCTCCTGCCATCTACAAAAGCTCCTGCAGCATCGACGTCACCTTCTTCCCCTTCGACCAACAGAACTGCAAAATGAAATTTGGCTCGTGGACGTACGACAAGGCCAAGATTGACCTGGAGAAAACTGAAGCAGTGGACCTGAACAACTACTGGGAGAGCGGCGAATGGGCTATCATCAACGCAGTGGGGACGTACAACACCAAGAAATACGACTGCTGCCACGAGATCTACCCAGACATCACCTACTTCTTCATCATTCGGAGGCTGCCCCTGTTTTACACCATCAACCTCATCATCCCCTGCCTGCTCATCTCCTGCCTCACTGTTCTGGTGTTCTATCTGCCCTCAGACTGCGGGGAGAAGATCACCCTGTGCATCTCCGTGCTGCTGTCCCTCACTGTTTTCCTCCTCCTCATCACCGAGATCATCCCCTCCACCTCCCTCGTCATCCCGCTGATCGGAGAGTACCTCCTCTTCACTATGATTTTCGTCACCCTCTCCATCGTCATCACTGTGTTCGTGCTCAACGTGCACCATCGCTCTCCCAGCACTCACAAGATGCCCCGCTGGGTCCACTCCGTGTTCCTGGACATGATCCCGCGCTGGCTTTTCATGCGGCGGCCCGCGCCAGATGTCCGCCGTCGCAGGCTGTTGCTGCTGCAGCAGGAGGCGGCGGCCGACCGGAGGCAGGCCCGATTGGCCGGGTTCAAACATGGCAACTGCCTCAGCACCTCGGCCAACTGGCTAAGAGACGGGACATCCTCAGAGGACCCCGAGAGAAGCTCTTATGAGGACTTAGAGCTGGGGACCCTGACATCATATTTCTCCTTTCGCCCTCCTTCGCCCAGACCTCCGGGGTCCACTCCCCCGACCCAACAGAAAAACCAACAGAACAGCCAGAACCAGCCGGAGGGGGCGACGGGGGCAAACAGACAGAGACTCAATACCATTCAGAGGGCCATTAAAGGAGATAACACAGTATCAGACTCAACTTTCCTGCTCTCACCAAGTGTTATACGTGCTCTGGAAGGGGTGCACTACATCGCAGACCACCTGAGGGCCGAGGATGCTGACTTCAGCGTGAGTATCAGCCAAATGCTACATCAACTATTATCAGAATGGCACTTAAACGCCACATTGTTTGTATAGTTTGTTATAAAAATCCTAACCATAATGTATTATTTTCTGCCTATTTTTATAGCACTAATACACATTTCCATTCTCCAGCCAAGTGAATATGAAGTCCTGTTTAAGATTTATTTCATAGTGAAGTTCATCAACACCCCCATGACTAACACCTGCAATACGCTGAGAGGCTAAAGATGAAAATCAGCCTTTTGTCAAAAACAAAGACAGATTTAAGACATCATAATAATAACCGAGGTGTTACTTAGTTTTTTTAATTTCTTGTTTTCTCTCTGTCTCTTTTTGCTTTTATTCTACACAGGTGAAAGAGGATTGGAAGTATGTCGCCATGGTGATTGACCGCATCTTCCTGTGGATGTTCATTATTGTGTGCCTGCTTGGGACCATCGGCCTCTTCCTACCCCCTTGGCTAGCTGGCATGATCTAGCTGCTCATGGGAGAATGTGTGAAAAACCCATAACCGCCACTAGTTAGTGAATTTGACATTCAAAATGTAGCTGAACTCTACTTCACGTTTGTGTAATGTACTGCGTTAAAGGCCTCATGAGGCTATAAAGCTCTTGATGCACCACCAAAGCAAAAGTGTGGAAAAACCGAAAGGTAGCATCTTCTATACAGCGGACATCTCAGACTCAGCCCGTCACTTGGCTCAACTTTTATCCATCTAAGCTGCACTTTGCCTCAGGTGTAATGGTACTTAGGTTGAGTTTGACCCAAATGCTAACATTAGCATGTTAACAGGCCCAGAGTTGGCAATTGGTAATGTGCTCATGGTTAGCACAACCTGAGAATTGGTATATTAGCATACCAATGGCAGTATGCTAATGTACCAATGTTTAGTACAATGTATCTTTCAGCATGTAAGTTAGGTGTAACTTGCTAGTAAATGGGATGGCACCAGCATCAGTGTAAGGCGTAACCGTTGTTTGTGGAATGACACTTTTTTAATGATTTCCCATGTTCAGTTCTTTCAATTGTTAACACAATATAGATTGAGACACAAATCAATGTTAATTATTGTTTTAACAGTTTTTAAAATGAGATGTATGTCTTTCAAGCAAAGTAATGCCTTAATTTCCTTCAAAATCACAAACGTTGAAATGTAAACTACAGCTATTGTTTATTTACTAGTAAAGTAGTGTGATGACTTTATCAATTATCAACAAGAAATGACTTTGAATTACAAGTCACCAGTCAGTAGCTTTAGTTTAGTATGAATACAGATGATTCTATCAGGAATGACTTAATTCAGTAATTAGAGGTCTACAGGTGTGACCTGAAGGTCAGACCTGTTGCTGATAGGATTCCTCTTCTGGGTAATATTAATGAACCATATTCCATGGTCCTCCATGTTGTCAATATCATTCAAATGTTGGATGAGATAAATGTGGAAACAGGTTTTGACCGTCATTGGCATGCTGTACTTGAAATCCAGAATATACTGGACACACTAACCTGTGATTTGTGCTGGTTTGGAAAGCATTTCCCTTTTTCACACAGGTTTTCTTTCTGCCATACTGTCATTATCATACAATGAAATACATAAGCTCATGAAACCTTTAAAAAGCCGTCTTTATAGCATTTATTGAGTGATGTGAAAATGAACTTAACAGCAGTGTCAGGTTATGATTCCTACAGCTGGCCTTCCTAAATCTAGATTCAATGAGTAGACATTTACAGAGGTATACATCTTGATATTCATTTTTACATCACTTGATTTACGTGCTAGAAATTCATATTTTATAATGATAGTGGAAATATTAGAGAGTTCCTGACAGACAATCCATATTCATGCCATTGTAGTCTTCATCTCATCATTTTAATAAAATGCATCACAGTTAAACTTGGGATTCATACTGTATATAAAACACTTTTGAACATTTGAATGGCCGACTGTTTGGTTTTGTCAACTTTACATTTCACTTTTATTTTCTCTGCTATAAAACCAATAGTACTCATCATAAGGCACATTTTATATTTACAAGGTTTTTCAATATCTGAGCAGATAATTAAATCGTTAAGAAAAGTTTACATAAAAAGAAGTGTGAAATGGTGGCATCCTAAATATGATGCCAATGGACCATGAGTAATGTTGGCATACAGAAGTACGCACACTTTTTTCCAAGTTGTCCTTATCCTCTGAGCTGTACCATATATTAAAACAAAGCAACACATATAGGTATGATGACGTCCTGCCACAGCCTGAATAAAAGCAGTTTGATGACATCTAAAATGTTCAACTGTGTGCAAATGTTAATTCTGACTAGAATGTGAATCATTAGCTTGATGTGTAAACCGTCCACTAGGGGGCCACTGGCTTGGCTAGGTTGGCCCTGACTCTGGCCTGGTCCACAGCATCCAACATGTTCTTACTATCCATAGCCAGAGTGTGTGCTGCAGTGAGCAGCTGTTTCTTACACTCGTCCTTCAAAGAGGTGATGGAGTTCTGCTGGGCCAGTCGCATTTTGCTGATCAGCTCCGCCATGTCGTTGTTCAGCAGCTTCTGGGTACCCCCTATCTGTGGGGGGGGGGGGGGGGGAAACACACTGTTGGCCTTTTTCTTGGAAGACATTTTTACATGTGGCAGAAGGGATCAGGTGTAAATAATAAAGTCAATGACGGTTGAATTCCCATTTCCCTCTGTGAGCCACAGCCACCCCGACATTGTGATAATTCTAAGGTGAAAAACATCTATTAACACACCTATACAATATTATGTAACCAAAACAAATAATAACACAAATGCAATAGGTGTGTAATGATTTAACTCAACTGCATTATATTAACAACTGTTATTGTAATTGTGTCCATACATTTTGCATATACAGCACATATATGGTCCTTTTTTACATTTAGTTGACCCCGTGTGCATATCCACAGCTGCTTTTTCAAGTGAGCAACACATGCATTGATTTCTGTTTGATAAATATGGCTGTGAAGAAACTGCAGCTCATAACAAATGTACTTTTTTTAACGTAACTTGAAATGGTCATTTGCTCTTCATCTCTTTGTGTTTGAAGAAGAGTTTTGTCACTTTTAGTTTTAAGGAACAAACGGCAGGAAGAAAAATCAATAAAGGAAGTGTAGAAAGACAGACATTGTGTGTACCTCAGTCCTCACAGACTCGTGTAAGGTGGGCAGAATGTCATCCACACTGCGGATCAGATCTCGTAGAGCCATCCCGACAGACTGTGGGCGGAGATCAATGCAGAGAATGGATTAGCTGTATGACTCAAGAGATTTGTTTCCATCACCATTCATACACCTTGCCTCTAAAGCGGAAAGAAAACATAAAATCTAAATGAAAATGTGATTATTTTCTTTGATGTACCTTAACAATAGTGATATATTTCTCCGGCGGAGCGTCAATGATGTCATTCTTGAGTTGGACGACCACTTTGACCAGGTCCATGACGTAGAGGTACACTTTGTCATCAGAGCGGTCCAGCTCAGCTGTGGGCGCAGCCTGAGGGAATAATGTGTTTTCATCATTAAAGAACTCATCCTCATTACTTGGCATCAATCCCCTTTCAATTGAAGGGCAATTTTACTTTCTTAAGATGATTGATTTTATTATATATAGTATCTAAAAATTCAAGCTAATGTATTTAAATGATCTTTTTCAGAATGCTAAAAGATATTATAATCCCAAAGATGAATTAATATAACTACCTGTGCTGTGAGCCGAGGGGGCTTCTCTGGAGGGGCTGCAGTGCAGAAAGATGAACAATGTGAGAAAGAGAGAACAGGAGGGTTTAGAAAGAAATGAACCCTCAGAACGACTACGTGAATATAAAATGGGAATTTATACATTTCCTCTGAGCGCTTACCATGCTCAGTGTCAGCTTCAGGGGACTAAAAAGAATAGAAAGAGATTAATTTCATGAGGACTAGAAAATAAAACAATATGCTTATATATCACTTGTTTCCCTGGGATATAGTTGTTCCTATTTCCTATAATGCTTCTTTAATATTCATACCATAAAAAAGCAATGTATGAATTAAGTATCTTGTGTTTTCATCTGACAAGAATGAAGGTTGTATTGCACATTTCTATATGTCAATTTGATCACTAGAGGAGAAAAACAAGATTGACATTTGTGTTCATGTTTTGTATTTTGGAGTTTAAAAAGTGTTTGTTTTGTTTTTCCTTTTCAGTGATCACAAATTGTCCTCATTGCACCTTTATTGGTTTTATTTCCAATTTGAACAATATAGCTTACTTTACAAGTACCTTAAAAAAGTTTTCTAACTTATTATAGCTGCATTGGAAATATCATGTAGTTTACATACACTGTTAAAAGTAGTGTAGCTTTGAACAACCTATATCTTTTTTTACAATCTTCAAATGGGAAGAAAATAGTATATTTAGAAAGAAAAGCGACTGAAATCACAGTTTGAAGGGGGGGGGGACCTACCGCTGGGCCCGCAGTGTCCTCTGGTCCCATGGGGTCCTGTAAAAGAACAGGCAGGTTCATTTGATAGAATAAGGTCATGGACCCCCTCTTTGGAACTGTTATCAGGGGGACATTCAATTTAAAGCTAGTGTGGCGTTGAGAGTGAACGAGTGGGTGGATTTTGTTTAATGATGCCTCGTTCCACGTAGCCTCCAGGGCCAGAGTGAATTGAGTTGGGGGACACTGAGACACAGAGAGGGGGTTGACAAAAGAGAATGATGCTCTGTTTCCCACCAGGAGTTTCTCCTCCTTTTCCAGCCACTTCTCATCCTCCATCATCTGCTCCTTCTGCCGGCGGAGAGTGTGCTGCATGTCCTGCCGCTCCCTCTGCCAGAGGTGCGCCGCGTCCTCCCTGCTGTTCGGCTCCACTCGGAAAAACTCGCCCTCCTACAAATAATGTGAATATAACAGAAAAATGATGGATATTAAACAGCCTTTTTTTGGGTCTCTTATGCATTCATTTTTAACTTTAGCTGTTTAACACAACTGAGAGCTACACCTGCACACACTAGTCTGTGTTGGATGTGGCGTGTGTGTTACATGTTGTGATCATGGATGTTCCTGTTATGTGATTGTGATGTGCTATATGTGACATGTATGTAGTAACGTGTGTTGTTTGCATTTTATTGTTCTCTTTTATCCTTTCGCCTGTACCTACTTATCTTTCATCCTTTTTTATAACAAATGCTGTTGATGTATTGTGATTGTAAGGATGTCCATAATCAACTGGCCAGGGACAACATCTGGAAATGAGCAATGTTTGCTAAAGCTGCCCCATTCACTGTTTTTTGTGACAGTTGATCAATGGGGGCTGTCCACGACACTATAAACAAATAAACTAAAACTAAACTTCGAATGTAAGAAAATAGACACAAACTCAGATACGTTTTAGAAATGTTAGACAACGCGCTGGGTTTCTCACCGCCATGCTGCGGCGGCGAGGGGACCTGCCCGGCAGCGTGAAAGTGCTCATGGAGTCGACGGGGGTCTGGTATTCACACGGGCTGGCCAGGTCAGGGGAGCTGGCACATAACGCCTCGTTCAGCTGCACAGACACACACACACACACACACATTAACACATGGATACTTTTTTGAAGTAAAGCCTGTGATCTTGGGTTAAACAGGTGAGAGGTTACTGTACCTGAATGTGCAGACCGATACTGAGCATGTTCCCGAACCGCCCTGGTTTCATCCTTGAAGGCTACAGCAATTATTTAGGAGAGGTATTAAAACACGCACTAATTCAAAACATTACATTTTAATCATTTGAAAATGTGGCTGACTTTGACAGTACCTTGGGAGGAGGCTCATTGAAGTTGAATTTGGGGTCGAAGAGTTTAGTGGAGCGTGCTCTGTCCCTCTCTCTCTCCACTTCCTGTTCCTTCACCATATTGTGGACATCGCTGACACATTTCAGACAACACATTATTGTATATCATGTCTTAAGAGATGTAGAAAAACACATCTTATAGACTGTTATTGCAGATAACTTTACACCATTCTAAATCACTTAATTTGCATCTATCCATTTCTTTATGAACAGCTGATCTCGAAATGTTTTTTATTATAATTATATCACATTCATTTTGTATATTTAACGGCTCTAATTCTATCTTGAACTTAATCTGAAAAGGAGTTGATGAAGCATATCAATATAGACCATTTCTTGCATTTTAGCAAAAGGCTACAATAAAACAGAGTAACCTTTTCCTTGTTGTTCGTGTGTCATCAGAAATTACAGACTGAGAATCTCTAACAATTTACATGAGCAAAACACCTCAAATATATTTGTATTGAACTTTGATGGCTTATCAAACTGAACCAATCTTAATACATTTCACTCCATTCAGTTATGTTGATATTGAGTAAAGAGGTACCTGATCTTGACCACCAGCTCGGTGAAGT